TCAATCTCCTAGACTTAGCATAACGAATACAAATTAATTAGTAATATTAAAAGTCCACAGATCCCACCCTCACCTTAGAAATAACGTCCAAAACTAAGTTTGGAAGAAAAGTGGTTGAAACGCTACTCCTGGCGGTCTGAAACTCCAAAAATAGCGATTCCAATATGCGTATGCGTTTTAGAGCAAATTAGGGTTTCTGGATTTTTGACAGACTAAGCATTACTTGACCAGAAAGTAACACCAATAACTCACTGATTTTTTATCGGATCTGGAAACCGAGACTTGATTTGGAATCCTTGCAACAACACCTTTCCAGAGACATCAGAACTAGGATCAGATACTCTCTGAATCGACGGAAAATTTCCTCCAAAAACCGCTCCTCGAAACTGGAAAACAGATAATTCTGAGAGCTTTTCTTATGCAGAAACAGCAACGCAGGGCCAACTTCAAATACGATTTACAAACTCGTCTTACCTCGGAATCGGGATCTGAAAGATGCTGTAGAAACCTTGAATCGAGATCTATCCAGACGTATGAAGAGCGTCGTCTGAAAAGTTACGGTTCGTTCGGAAATCGCCCCGCAAGGTCACTGCTCGCAACAACTTTCCTTTGCTCCTCCTTTCCCTGGTCTTCCCGGTCACCGGAGCTCACGAGTGACACACTCAACAGCGGCGGCGGCTAGGTCACGGGTGAAAAAGGGCAGAACTTCGCTGNAAGGATGATCTCAACTCCTCCCTCTCTTTGCCGTTTCCATTAAATAGAGGAAGAGTGTGGAGAGAGTTAGGGTTTTAAGGAGAGATATGGACCACACGAAATNGGCCATAGGGTTTGGGGGTTTATTTGAGGTAGGGCCATGACAGGGAGTATGTAACTTTATCAGGTTTAATAACTTTGAAATTCGCACAAACGTATATAAATGTTTGGTCAAATGCGTTGCTTTGGCTGGATGTAAAATGTGTATTCTCTCTCTTTCGATTCGTAACTTCGGCAAGAAAAGTAAGATGAATTATTCAATACAAATTTTAAGCAAATCACTTCTCTTCTTGTCAACGTTTTTCTTGGACCAGAACCAGATTGTCTAATTCAAGATATGTTTTTCGTTGAAATAACTTAAAAATTCAAAGAAGAAAACAAATGTTACCGTATAATTCACTTATAGCATCCTTGCAATGAAGAAACATTAACTATGAACTTATGGTTTTGTCCTGAAACATTAGAACCCGTCTCTGTTCAACATGAACATGGCAGTTTCTTCTACTCAAATAACCCAAAACCCTCAAATGTCACAACAGAGGAAGGATGATCTAGCTGCCAAAAAGAAAAAAAAAATCTGCAATTACAACAATACATTGCAAGAACCTGAAGCTCTACTCCATCTGACGCAACCTCGACGCTGTTTCTTGTTTTAAAAAAGGGGATGTGGTTAAACTCTTACTCTTGTTTCTTGAGCGCCGGGTCAGTACTTGTGACTCCTGATGTCAATTTCTTCACACTGTCTTTGGCCTCTGCGACAAATGAAGCGTCTGGCTTGTGTTTAGCTGCAGGTTCTTTCAAGGCTAGACAGATGTAAAACACAATCAGTACATTGACTGATACCACCGCAAGAAATCCACTCACTAGTGTTAGAGAATGTGGAGATAATGTTGTTGAACCTGTCAAGATTTGAACACAGTAGTGTAAGAGATAGTAAAAGCTCTGAAACATGACCTATGGTTGCAGTTTAAATGGTCAATTATAAAACTAAAGCTCAGAAAATACAACATACAGTTCTGTGAGAGAGAGAGAGAGATTAGGCTAAAAGTAAAGTAACTGACTAAAAGGCCCATTATGTGTAGAGGATCAAATTTCATTACATGAATTAAGCGTCAAAGACTAAAATCCCTTTGTTACAAGAATTAAGGTTACAACCAAAGAATAGCCTTTTTACTATAACCATAGAACTAAGCATTTCAATCTCATATTTTCCAGCTCCAACTCTTTTCTATGTTACCTAATACCTTAACTCTAATCGAATAAGTTGCAGTTTCTAAAACATTTTTACGATCAGAATTCTCTAATCTATCATCAGATCCCAACAACCAGCTATACTCATTAGTCTTCCACTAAAAGAGTGTTTGCAGAAGCTAAAGAAACTTATATATGAGAAAAACAACGAGTATTTTGTGGTATTTGCTTCCCCCTTAAAAGAAACATTACAAAACCTTCCTAACTTCTTCAAAAAGTGGTTCTCTGTGTTAATCCTCCTACTACAAGCCACAATCCAACCACTCCTTAATCAACTAGACTAAAAATCAGGATCAATAATCACATAGATCTTCAAATCATAGTTGAAAAACAGACATGATAGAGTAAATGTGGAAACAAAACTAGGTAGGTGTGTGGATTAGCAAATTAGCTAAACAACGCCGCTCGTTTCAAAAAAATCATCATACTCCTTAAAAATATACCGTTTGTGCAACTAAATCTTCAGTCATTTAGTTAAAAAAAACTCACAATCATCACGCAAAACACCAACCGATACTCACAATCGAACATAAAATGAGAAATCTAAAGAATCCTTTGTCAGTCTAAACAAACACAGGAACATGTAGACATACATACATGAGTCTTTTACTCATCACTCTCTAAAACCCACGAACAAGCAGGAAATTCTACTTAATTATAGTTTCTAATCTAATGGCTCCACGCTCCAAAAAGACAAAGATTTCCTCATTCATCAAGTCGAAAACATGAGAACTCTAGCTTAGATTTGGTCTTACCTCTACAACTATTGGTCCTAATAATAAATCAAGACAAAACGTGGATTCACAAGTAAGTAAATTAACAAAAAAACAAGAAAAGTCTTGAGTTTCCAAATGAATCGGCCTTACCAGGAAGCAAATTATTGTTGAATCCATATAATATTGCAATAGGGAGAATCCACATGAACATTGATGCAACAAGGAACTTCTGCATAACCCCAGCCATTGCAACAACACTACCAGAAGATATGAAATCTAAATCCAATTACGAAATCAGGAATCAAGGAAAAGAGATTCAAAATATGTATCTAGGGTTTACAACAAACC